CAGAAACCCAGAAAACTCTGTAGTTGTTTCAGGCTCGTCTGAATGGGCCAGTCAGCGACCGCCTGGACCTTCTGAGGGTCCATGGTTATGCCTTGATCCGAAATCATGAAGCCCAGGAATGAGACTGTCCGCTGGTGGAAAGAGCATTTCTCAGGCTTACAGAACAGGTTATTGTTCAGGAGCCGGGTCAGGACGGCACGAACATGGTGGAGGTGTTCGGCCTCGGACTTGGAATAAATTAGGGTGTCATCCAGGTAGGCAAACACCCACCGGCCCAGCATGTTGCGGAGGACATCATTAATGAGGCATTGAAAAACGGCGAGGCTGTTGCACAGCCCGAAGGGCATGACCTGGTACTCCCAATGGCCGGTGGGTGTGATGAACGCGGTCTTCCACTCATCCTCTGCTTTGATGCGGACCAGATTATAGGCACTCCGGAGGTCCAGTTTAGTGAAGATTCGCGCCTGGGAGATGGAGTCCAGAGCAGTCGTGAGGAGTGGCAGGGGATGACGGTCCCGGATGGTGATTTTATTAAGACCCCAGTAATCTATACAGGGATGAAGGTTACCCTCCTTCTTCTTCACAAAGAAGAAGCCTGCGGCACCCAGGGAAGAGGAGGGTCAGATGAAACCCTGCTGAAGGGCCTGGTTGATGTATTCATCCATGGCTTTGGATTCGGAGGGAGAGAGAGAGAAAAGGCGCCCTCGAGGAGGGCTGGTTCCTGGTTGCAGCTTGATTTCCATGTCATAAGGGCAGTGAGGCGGCAGTGTGGTGGTGCGTTGCTTGACGAAGACTGCGGCAAGGTCTTGATAGGGCAGCGGCAGATTGGGCGGTGAAGGTCCAAGACCACCAGCCGGGCGGTCTGCCATGGGTGGAGGAGAAGAGAGGTTGGCCTGGCACTGGGTCCCCCAGCCTAACAGGCGGTTCTGGGACCAGGAAATCTGGGGGTCGTGGAGACGGAGCCAGGGGAACCCCAGGATTAGAGGAGAGGAGGGAGTGGAGATGATCAGGAAATGGGAGGGTCTCCTGGTGGCCTTGCATGATCATCTGGAGTGACTGGGTTCGGTCTTGGACAGGATAGGGCTGGAGAGGTCTGACGTCCACCGAGGTCACCGGAAAAACCCTCTTCAGGGGGGTCAGGGGGATCCGTAGGCGTTTAGCCAGATCCACATCCATGAAGTTGTCGGTGGCCCCCGAGTCCACCAGAGCGTGCATCTGATGTGAAGTCTCACCATGAAGGAGGGTAACGGGAAGGAGGAGTCGGTGGGAAGAGACAGGGGCAGAGGGTGACCCGGGCTGAGCTACCCCGATACTCAGTGGGTGACTTCATTTCCCGGCCGTAATGGGCAGTCCAGGCGGAGGTGGTCGGGAGAGCCACAATAGGCACAGAGACCCTTGCGCCACCGTCGCTCTCTCCCGGAGGAAGGTGGCCTAGCTGCATTGTGCCGTTGAGGTGTGTCCGGGGGCTGGCGTTAGTGAATGAGGCAGAGGTCCAGGAATTCTGAGTGGGCGAGCGGAGAACTTGGGTCAAACTAGAACCCGCTGGTCGATGCGCAGCGCAAGGTCAGCTACTTCATCCAGGGTCTGGGGCAGTTCTCTTCCCGCCATCTCATCTCGGATGTAGGGTGCCAGCCCCTCTAAGAAGACAGCCCGGAAGGCAGAGTCATCCCATTGTAGTTTGGCAGCGATGGTGCGAAACTCTGATGCATAGGTGCACACCGAGCGTTCCAGTTGGCTGAGTTTTGGAGACGTGCCTCACCTCCCACCTCACTACTAGGTGGAACGAAGGTCTTCCTGAGGGCGGTCACAAATGAAGGGGATTTAAAATTATAGAGAGCAGCGGCCCATTCCTGAGTGCGTCCAGAGAGAAGTGAGGTGAGGTGCGCCACCCGAGAGCGAGCAGTGGGGAAGGTTCCTGGTTGGCACTCATATTGCATGTTGAGGATGGCGAGCAGACCATCGGAGCTCCCATCCACCCAGTTCCACCTCTCTGGAAGGCTGAACTGCGGCTCCTCCTTAGGTGGAGCAAGGGCTTGCTGTTGGAGAGCATTGAGAGATGTAGATAACTGAAGAGTGAGGTCAGTTAAGCCGGGCGTACACTGTGCGACTTTTTCACTTTTTTGAGCCGATTTTCCAGTCGTGCGAGAATCCACAAGATCGGGGCGAGTTTTGCGTCGTGTAGTGTACAGTGGGTTACGAGAGGCGATTAACACCACGTGACCAGCTACCGATCAGCAATCGTGAGCTCGCACAAACTTCTGGCATGTTTAATATTTTGCTCATCCCTCGTGAGGGTATCGCACTGTTGAAGCGGCGCTGCGAGCAGCTACGACCCAAAAAGTATCAGAACTGCTCACGGCGCATGCGCAATCATGCATCAACACCGCTCGCCCGCTATTTCCCTAATAACACACGTTGTTCATTTTTATTTCTACACGGTTTTTTACTTGCAAAGATTGTCAAGAAAGCATGTTTGTCGTGTTCATGTCAAATTAACCTGATCACAAAACACAGATTTACTTTCTTTATTTCGTTTTCCTCATCCAACCCCCATAGATCCATGTGTGTCCTCCTGCAGCACTCCCGAAGGACAACAGGCAAAACAAGACAAAAAAGTCTATCGTGTTGAGTAAAAACTGCTATTTTTAGCATATTTTTAGGGCCGACATGTTGCTACCAGACGTACAGAGTGAGCAGTCAAATTGCATCCGAGAACTGGGTCATGCAGTGTGAGCGCATGACTCGTGAGATCTGCCCTGCGAGGAAGTCGTACAGTTTGAGCTGAAGCTGAGTACTACGAGTGAAAAAGTCGCACAGTGTACGCCCGGCTTTAGGGAGTTCACCTTGGTGTTGAGCCGATCGACCAAAGCGTGGAGCTGAACAACCTCATTCCTCATACGCTCAAACTCCGCTGGGTTAATGGACTCAGTCATCCTGTCAGACTGGTCGGCTGGATAAGGGAGTTGAGCTGTGGCGAGCATGGCTTTACAGACGCGGAAGTGCTAGCGTCGGCGATACACCGGCTCGCGGTTTGATCTAGGAATTCCCCGAGCGTCCGAGTGTCATTGAAGTGACATGGAGATGCTGGGTTTTCCAGAGGTAAGAAATAGAGCTTACTGTGAGTAGACAGTTCGTCGGATAGGTAGGTTGGTAGGATACTCTGATCACGGATCTGAAGAAACAATGACTAAGTGGTAAGCTGCCGGAGGCGGCTTCCATATATAGTCGTGGTTAGTGACGTGGAAAGAATCCCCGCGAGGAGCATTCTGGGAGGTGTGGTCCAGGGTGGAGACCAGCTAGCTGGAAGAGGCTGGTTTGGGGACTTGGGCTCTGACATTAAGTACATCAGTATAATGAGTATCGGTATATATGTATAAGTGTATAAGTATAATGAGTTTCAGTTTATAAGTATAAGTATAATAAGTATCGGTATATAAGTATAAGTATATACGTTTAATGAGTATCAGTATATAAGTATAATAAGTATCAGTACATAAGTATAAGTATATAAGTATAATAAATATCGGTATATAAGTATATCAGTATAATGAGTATCGGTATATATGTATAAGTGTATAAGTATAATGAGTTTCAGTATATAAGTATGAATATAATAAGTATTGGTATATAAGTATAAGTGTAAGTATATAAGTATAATGAGTATCAGTATATAAGTATAAGTATAATAAGTATCGGTATGTAAGTATATCAGTATAATGAGTATTGTGTATAAGTATATAAGTATAATGAGTATCAGTATATAAGTTTAAGTATATAAGTATAATAAGTATCGGTATATAAGTATCGGTATATAAGTATATCAGTATAATGAGTATCGGTATATAAGTATAAGTATAATAAGTATTGTATATAAGTATAAGTATATCAGTATAATGAGTATCGGCATATAAGTATAAGTATATAAGTATAATAAGTATCGGTTTATAAGTATAAGTGTAATCAGTATCGGACACTTTAAATGTCAGGTAATTGACTCGGCCATTCAAGCAACTTGATTTTCTTTCTTTGAAACCAGTTCAGCGTTCCCATGCCCTTGTGTTTGGGATCACTGTCTTGCTGAAATGTCCACCCCCTTTTCACTTTCAGCGTTCTGGTAGATGGCAGCAGATGGCAGCAGATCTTCATCCAGAATGTCCCAGAACATTTCTCCATCCATCATGCCTTCAGTAATTTTTTGAAATTGCTAATGTGAAGATTGACTCCAAAGTACGAAAAAGAAAGATCGCGTTTGGTTACAAAGAGCACGAGGTGACAGTAACAGCAGCTCTCGCTTCGCTACTCTCTTTTTATTCTTTGCTTTTTCTTCTGTGCGTATTTTAATGCCCTTAAGGTGGCTGCGGCTAACGCTAGCTGAACCTGAAAAAACCTGAAAAAAGTCGGCCAATCCAGGTCGGAATGCTGAAGGCTTTTCAGCGATGAGATTACGAAGATGCTGGGAGAGTTGTTTACTTTTACCCATCATGAAGTCTTCCTGTGTGCCTCCTGGTTAATCAGAAGCCTTTATCAGGATGAAAGCAGCTGATATCAATGAGTACTGGTAGAAAGCAGGGTTTCTCTCTCAATATTGATTAAGGACCCACACTTGTATAGCTCCTCTTAGAGTTAGAGCACTCCAAGGGGCTTTACACTACAGTGTATCATTCATCCATTCACAACCTGGAGGTGATGAGTTACGATGTAGCCACAGCTGCCCTGGGGTGCACCGACAGAGGCGCTACCAGTCCCTCCGACCACCACCAGCAGGCGAGGTGGGGTAATAGCCCTGCCCAAGGACACAACAGCAGCATTCCCTGGTCAGAGTCGGGATCAAACCTGCAACCTTCTGACTACTAGACAACCCGCTCTACCTCTTGACCTACTGCTGCCCCTTTAGCTAATTTTAATCCCATCTTGCCCACCTCTCTAGATGGAACTTATGGTCTCTGAGTGAATCACCAGAAAGACATATCCCTTAACTCCGTCTCCATTTCTGTGTCTAGTTCTGAAAAGCTTACCTCCAGCTCAATATAAGGAGACCCTATCAGCGCTGTTGGCATGGATACAACAGTGTGAAGCCAAACTGTCCATCCCATCAACGGCTGTTACAGAGTATCCTGTTATGGAGCAGAGACTGAAGGATCTTCAGGTAAAATCACTAACTGTATGTCCTCTGTTGCCATGGCAACACTGTTGGCATAATGGATTCCCTATATGGTCTTTGGTCCCCACATCTCCACCTGCGACGTTCAGGTCCCCACACATTGCATAAACCAAACTATTGCGCTAAAACGACTGATGTTGGTTTTGTTAAATGCATGTAAACACATTAGTCTGGCTGAAGGTGGACTGGTTCCAACCGTGCTGAAGCACCCTGATGATGCAGTAGGAAAACAACTGCATCTGCATGTAAACGGCTCAGTTGAGGTGCAGGTGAAGGTTCTCAGCCATCCAGGTAATGTTAATCCCACAGGGTTCACATGAAGGCAACCAGACTTCTTTGGTTTTGATGATGACACACACACACACACACGCACACACACACACACACACACACACACACACACACACCCTGTGGCAGTTTCCTGTCACGTGCAATAATAATTAAGTAAAGTATTTCTGATGCAATAATACTTATGTAACATCCAGAAATGGTCCGTTTTCACCTACATGCCACTGGTCATCTACAGACATAAATTCCATTCTCTAAGGTGGATTTTACATTCTATCTTCCAACAAGCCCAGAAGGTTCTACAGCTCTGAACACATGATAACATATTGTCAACAAACTGTTCCCGTTTCAAGGCCTAAGCTTCCCTTATCGCTTCTACGGGATTCTTGCCTCTGAATAAAGTGAACACTTTTACAACTCATAAGTTAAATAACCATTAAATAATAATATGGTTGAATGAACAAATGTTATATGAATACTAATGAAATGTTTTGATTAATCTGCTTAAATTACTGTGGTTGAAATGAATTTTATTATTACAATGAAACATTTTGGTGTTATGATCAGTAATGTTTGATTTAACAAGTGAATCATTATCTACACTCAGACACACTGTTCATAAGATAAAGTTAAAGTAACGTCACTGCACATAGATATTTTCTTACCCACAAATCAGAGCATCCTGTATCTGAAAGAAGGTGTGATGTTCTGAGGGTTGTTGTTAACACCTCTCAACATGGCACGTCCTGATTGGCCAAGTAAATCATAATATGAGAATATTAAAACAGAATCACTAACGGAGTGATTCAGCATTCCAGCATTCTGTGAGATTCAGCATTCTGTTTGTTGAGCTAACTCTGACTGGCCATCAGAGGTAAACTCTGTTCCCATTGCATCTCTTCACAAGCTTTCGACAAGCTAAGAGCTGCCTACAGCTGACACAGCAAAATGGTTCCTTCAGCTGTTCAGAAACAGCTGCTCTAGACACAAACGATTTCATCTATTTGTTGTAATCCGGGATACGACTCTGGGCCGACCTGGTCGTACTGCTGTCTTTTCTACGAACTTCGGTACCTTGGGGTCACACGACCCCCACCGTCATCTCAGATCGTAAAGGGAGTCTCCTCAGGGGTATGTAGAACACAACAAGATTGCGTCTGATGCCGTTTTGATAAGAACCAACTTCATAGTTTAACGCAAACCAAATTCTTTTCACACCCAGAACTCAGTTCTTCTAGATACAAGGTTCTGATAAACACACACCATTCAATCACCATACATCACATCCCATCCTCTTAGATTCATCCATCACAGTAGTCTTAGTTAACTTATCATGTTTTTATTTGTTTAGAAAATAAATTCTTTCTTGTTATAAACTTGAGTCTGTCTGGATTGATACGAAGTGTGTTTGATCCCTGAAAAAGCAAAGAACCCAAGAATCTTCTGATTAAATATTTAAAGACTAATAAGGTTGATATTCTATATTTATATAGAATATCACAGCTTATTGGCCATAAGTAAAGGTAGTATATTAAGCTTGAAAGCAACTATATTTAACCTTACACTTAAGTAAAGTATTTCTGATACAATAGTACTCAAGTAAAGTATTCCTGATACAACAATACTTAAGTTAAGTATTTCTGATGCAATAGTACATAAGTAAAGTATTTCTGATGCAATAATACTAAGTAAAGTATTTCTGATGCAATAATACTTAGTATTTATGATGCAATAATACTTAAGTAAAGAATTTCTGATGCAATAATATTAAGTAAAGTATTTCTGATGCAATAATACTTTAGTAAAGTATTTCTGATGCAATAGTACTGAAGTAAAGTATTCCCGATGCAATAGTACTTAAGTTAAGTATTCTTGATGCAATAATACTTACGTCAAGTATTCTTGATGCAATAATACTTAAGTAAAGTATTTCAGATGCAATAATACTTAACCCTCCCACTGTCTTTATGGGTGACCCCGCGAGGAAAGTTGACCATTGAGCAGGGTTGATGGTGTATCCGTTGAGGTCCACGTGGCAGGGGTGAGGAATGGGCACCACTTCAAGACAGTGGGAGCGTTAAGTAAAGTATTTCTGATGCAAGTGTTTCATGTTGAATGTGCCATGTCTCCATATTGTAAAGATTGTGTTTTATTCTTTAGTGTTGGTAAAGTTTTTATTCTGTTTTAGTGTTTTATAAACTACCGTCTGTCTGTCCGCCCATCCATCCTTCCGTCTGACTGTCTGCCTGTCTGTCCGTCCATCCATCATCCATCCATAACCAATCAGAGCTCTCACTTTTCCATATAAAAGCAGAGATATAATTCTATCTGTGACCATATGAAATGATTTATTTATTTTTCTAACAACAAAGTTTGCTGTTGATGTCAGGTGTTTCTTCCTAAACATTCAAATCAGCAACAACAGCTAACCTGGGTTTGTTGAAGCATCAGTGGAGCCTCCACCAGACCCTGTGACTGACAGCAATGATACGCTTGCCTGGCTGCTTGAGCAGAAACGCTCTCAGCCTTAGCAGACTCATGTGGGCCTTCCTCCTCTATGCATTATGCATCTCAGGCCACAGAGGGAGCACATCTGACGAAAGGAATGGGCTCACCTATGGTGATGGGAAAAAAATGAGTCAGGACTTCAGATGGAGAGGGATTGAGTGGATGTGTTCTACCCTAGCCCCCATAATTCGGGTCTGAAATTGAAGCCAACGCGGAAGTGACAAAAATTGCAGTTCCACCCTCATCCACTAGGGGCTGGTGTCAGAAGCGAGCAAATCCTCATTGACTCCAATGTTAAAAATACCAATTTCACAGCAGAAATAAACATGTTTACAGCCTGGTTCCAAAACATGTTTTAGGTTTAATAGATCTAACCCCTGTCCACACGTAGCCGGGGATCTGCCAAAACATAGATATTTTTCTACGTTTTGGCCTGTCATCCACATGAAAATGGAGTTTTTCACACGCAAACAGATTTTTTTTAAAACTCCGGCCAAAGTGAAGATCTGCGTTTTCTCCGTTTTGGGTGTCTGCGTGTGGACAGACAAAACCGGAGTTTTAAGGTCCGCAACGTCACTTTCCGCGACAAAAAAATGCTGACATCACGTGTGCGACCTGTGTTTACACTAGCCGACAGCATGGATGCCCTCACAGCTGCGCTCGCTTTATCAATTGTCCAAGCGCTTTTTTGCTTGTTTGTTTTTGCAAGCGGAATTACTGCTCCTTGCGGAAGACCACAGACGAAGGACGAGGTTAAGAATGGGGGAAGTACTGCCGCCTACAGGTCTGGCATGTCCTTAACAACGTATTTATCCGGGTACGTGTGGACAGAGTTTGTTTTTTAAATGAGGTGGTGTGGATGCAAGTTTTTGGAGGGGCGGATATTCGTTTTTAAAAAAACCTGGCTACGTGCGGACTAGGCCCTAGTTTACACTCATGACAACTCTGAGGAGGGGGAATTGTTTTGTCACTCTTCTGTTTAAGTGTATTAAAAGCCTAAAATTCTGAATAATTAATGAGCATCAGACCCACGTGACCACAGAGCTAGCTTCGGTGAAAGGCCTCAGTCTGAGCCTCGGCCTCGCCTGAAAACTGTTCCGCCATTTTCAGTCTATTAACTTAGACCATTAGTTGTAGCGTTTGTGTGTTCTTTTTTGGATATTTTTTGTGCAATTGTTGGACAAAATGACTTGCTGTGGCATTAATTGCACTAATAGAGCGTCCAAGGAGTCTCCACTTCATTTTTCTCGGTAAGTAAAATTATATTTATGTATTTTAGGTCACTGCCGAGCTGAGCTTAGATTTTAACATGTGCTGTTTAACCATGAAATTGAAATGTAATAGGGTAAAACCCAGTGCATTTAACATAATGCTGCATTTTTGAAAATGGGTTGAAATATAACATGTTGGTAGAGCTGGGTTCCGACTATCGGTATGGACTCCCTCCCCTCAGCGGCAGCTCGGCGCATCTCTGATCACGGCGCCTGTCTGCTGCTTGGCTGCCGGCTTGTGGAGCTCTCGGATGGAAACCGATGTTTTGCACCCGGTTCTCCCCAGCGGCAGCTCGGTGCATCTTTGACCACAGCAGCGCCTGTCTGCTGCACGGCTGCAGGCTTGTGGAGCTCTCGGGAGACCTCTGTGTTCTACCTGGTTTTACCCAGCGGTCAGCCCGGTGTATCTCTGACTCAGAAGCTCTGGTGTTGTGCACAGTTAACTCCGGTTGTAGCTAGGTAGCTACCTCCATTAGCTTAGCTCCCACCTCCGCGTTAGCTTTGGGTTAGCTTGTAGCTACATCGCTTCAGTTCGGCAGGTGTTGTCATTTCATCCCAGCCTTACAGCCCCACTCTCAGCTCCACCTCTCTTCCCTTTTGTGGAATTGTCTGGGCTTGACGGAACCTGTGACACGGTTAAAATGGTGGTGGTGGCCACCTCCCATTTTGGCTTAAAAACTTAAAATTGGAACCTATGGAAACAAATTGTCCAGTATATATGTCAATGGTTCTACCACACAACTCAAAGATTATTGCAAGGATCATTTGGAGATCAAATTTAAAAACTTTCAGTAACACCTTAATTACCCAGCTTGTCCACCAGAGGGTAGAAACTTGTACAGGATCCCATTTAGACATTTTGTTCACCTACACGTCCAGTTAGGAGTTCTGATAAGAGAACCTCTAAAGATAAAATTATTTATTAGAAAATTGTCTCCTACACTTATTTCCTGCATTACCTTCAGATAGAAAATAGTCTCCTACACCTATCTCCTGCATTACCTTCAGATAGAAAATCGTCTCCTTCACCTATCTCCCGCATTAGCTTCTGATAGAAAATAGTCTCCTACACCTATCTCCCGCATTAGCTTCTGATAGAAAATAGTCTCCTACACCTATCTCCTGCATTAGCTTCTGATAGAAAATAGTCTCCTACACCTATCTCCTGCATTAGCTTCTGATAGAAAATAGTCTCCTACACCTATCTCCTGCATTAGCTTCTGATAGAAACCGACGGTGAAACTCTAGGATTAGAAAAGCCTGACAGATCTACATCACACTGTCACTAACATTCATTCTAAACATTTATAAATGCTTTAAGACTGTTTTCTTTACCTGCTTGATTTTGCCAAGGTGTGCTGGCAGCAGCAGGAGTATCCGGGATGCAGTTCAGGTCTGTCACTGAAAAGAAGCAGAAATCTAGAAAGGGGCGTGTCTTGTTGGGCATTCTACATTAGTAAATATTTATAGCTAGGAATTTCTTTTTCTAAAAAGTAACTGAGTTAGTAACTCAGTTACCACATTTAAGAAGTAATTAGATACCTAGCAAAGTAACGATGAGGTTACTTTTATGTTCGATAACGCGGTTACGTTCTCTAATATCTATAACTTCAAAGATTTTTACCTGAATGATTCTTTTTGTCTAGACGGAACATTTCAGATATCTGAAAAGTTCCTTCAGTAAGAAGGTTCCCATGGATATTTGGAATGTTCATTTCTACCAGGAACAATAGAATTATAGATATCTGGAACACATACCCAGCCTGCTAATAAATGTTAAAAAGGACACCTCAGGTTTTTAGGGATATATTTTCCCTCCACGTTTTCCCAATTTATAGTCCCTGCTCCTTTGAGGTTCCTGGGAAGGCCAGCTGGATGACTGGAGGGCAGAGTCACTGGTTGCTCTGGAGTTCTCTGCCTGCAGCCATTTCCTGGTCTGACAAAACACCATAAAATGGAGCAGAATGTCCAAAAAAAAAAACACAGTTTTTGTGATCAGTTGTGTACCTGTAGAGTATACCGATCACCTCATGCTATTTCTATGTGGAGCAATGATCATGCACCCCCCTTCCTTAACCCACACAGTATAGATCTGTTTTAGGATGAGCACTGCCCTTTGAAAACCGCCTGGTTCTTGAAAGGGTTACAGGAAGTACAAGCCCAAAGCTACCAGGACCTGGTTTAAGGACCAGGGTATGAAATAAGTCAACTTAATCCTGATATTCTCATTGTAGGACCAGCACCTGAATATCCTAGAACGTTTCCAGCTGAGTTTAAGAGTTTGTGTGTCAGATTTCTATAAAAAAAATCATATCTTGCATCACTTGAAACGCTGGGTTATGTGAGGTCACTGGCTGGTGAATCTGTTAATATATAAAGTGAAAAGGAGACTTTATTGGTTATGGACACTGGAAATGGTTTCTATTAGTCAATTTTTCTGATTGCACCCCCTCACCAGGTGTATCAAACCCTGCATCAGAATGTATTTGCGATATTGATGAAATGTTAAAATAAGGAAGTCAAAATGTTGCTTGAATATTTGACATCATCTGAAACTTTGGCTGCACCTATTTCTCAAGCTGGATCCTTTTTCCTGTTTGATCTGGTGTTCTGGCCATACTGGTTCTGTTGCTGGTGGAACCATTCTCATCAGACCACACAGAGACACCATGTTCTCTATTGGTCGTGGGTCATATTCAGCCTACACTGCCATCTATTGGTGAGTGGAAAAGAAACAAGTATCTTTGGTTTGCTGTAAAACGGCATAAATATAAGTTTTACCTGAAACCAACACATGTGCCAGTCATTCAGTTTCAAACATGAGCAATGACTAATAATCAATTGGTTATCAACTAAAATAGTCTCTGAACCAAAGTAGTGATGTCACAAAGACCCTCGTCTTGTTGTTCTGACAGGGTGTGGTTACCATAACAGTCAAAGCAAGAGTCGGTGAAAATCAAGTCCAGTCAGAATAAGTGTGATTGTGTTTCACCAGTGCACCAAGAAGGAATGTTCACATTGCAACATGGCCAAGATGCATCAGCGTTGATTACAAATGATCGTCATGCTCTCTTTGCTAATGGAAATTGGAAGATAAAACTTCTGAACCATGCCACGGCTGTCTGAGAAAGTCTTATATGTTTGAGTCTGCTACGTAGGATGTTATGGTCTACAGTAGCCACAAGCGCCACCAGAGTGGGCCAGTAGCCCCAGACCCCCCAGTGGCCCATCAACAACAGCATTGTGTTTGAGAGTATCAATGACGTTCCGTCGTTGCCATGTGATGGAACCGATCAAAGGAGCCCAGAGCGATTGTTTTTGTCCTGGACACTTCAAACTATTGTAAGATGTTAGCATAAGTTCCTCAGTGGTCCTCGGTTCAGTCCAGCTGGTTTAACAAAAGTCTGAAAACCAAAACTTTTATGGGTTTGTTAAGGCTCTTGTCTCAGGAGATGATGACCTCACCCTCCTGTGGCTGATAATGAGACAACTCTGTGTAAGCTCTTGATGACCCTAACTCAGTGTGACTAGACCCCATCTCATCAACATTACCACCCTTCTCCACCCAGCATCCTGGGATGTTGCAAACTTCGTGACCAACCTTAATCAGAGCTCCTCATGAGGATGATGTCGATACCGATACCAATGCAGTTGCTTGAAAGTGGCTTCACTGTAACTTGTCATTTCTGTTCACCTAATATTTTAGTTTTGTGATGATTTCTATTCATATATTTTACTTTTTATCTACCTCACAGTCTTTTCAAGTTGAAAGCAGAGAAGGAAATAAAACCTGTATTCCAATTCATTGCATTTTTTGTGTGGTAGAAGTATCGGTAATCGGTATCGGCGAGTACTCAGATCCAAGTATCAGTATCGTATCGGTTTGGAAAAAAGTGGTATCGTTGCATCCCTACTAACAGTATCAAGAAATGGGTGATTGTTGATTCCCCTTTTTAATAGTTTCATTTCTGCAGGAACAGAGAACTAGTACACACCTGTCTGACCTGTAACCATAGTTATGGGAGGTCCCAGTCCTCTATACTGTGGGTATCTACAGTAAGTGGTCCAACTTTTCTGTCCTTTCAGGCTCTCCAGGAGTCTCTGGCTGAACACCAGGGGGAGGTCGACTACCTGACCTCTGCTGCCGAGCAGGTCTTCCAGAAAGCTCCACCTGACATCAGTCAAAAGTAAGATGTCTCTATCTCGTACAACGGGATGGAGTTTGCTGCAGATTCAGCATGGTTCATTATAGAATGAAGCAATTTCCACTATTTTAGTCCTTAAGTCAAGATGTTCTGTGTAGCTGTTCTGAAACCTTCATCCGTCTGAATCAAAGGGTGAGATTTAGGTATAAAACACTTTAGTTACTTACGACACAGCTGATCAAAGTTCCTGGAATAAATTATAAAAATAAATTATTCTGTATGTCGTTTGTTCGTTTGGATTTTAGACTCGGCAGCATAGGCTCTGATGACTTGTAAGTGCTGTAGCACAAACAAAGGTTTTTCTATTGTGTTGAAGGTATCATATAGAGATCGATGGCATCATGGCCCGTTGGAAACGGCTGGGCTCCACCTTAACGGACAGCAGCCAGAGAATCCAGGAGCTCATGGCCAAACTGATGCAGTTTGAGGTGGGACTAGAGGAGCTGGATGGAAAATTTAGCTTGGATATGGCTGCATGGACCTATGTCATTCTGGTATGATCTCTCCACCAGAATGATGTGAAGACGTTAAAGAAATGGATGGCTGATGTGGATGTCTTTCTGAATGAGGAGTGGCCGGCTCTGGGAGACTCTGAAGCACTGGAGAAACAATTAGAGCAGTGCACAGTAAGGAAACAAGCCTGCAGGCATAAATGCCTCTTTCACAACCAACAAATGAAATAGAAAGAAAAAGGCCCTCAGAGAGAGCAGACTAAACAATCTTTAAAGTTCACGAAAAACTCGTTTGTGTACGACCTCTCTAAGAGAAGAACTTTGGAGGACTTCAGTGAATTGTTCTAATATGTGAAGTTTTGGCAATTCTGCTTGTTTAGACTCTGCCCTATTCTCTGATTGGCCAGGCACTGGGGAATGACATCCACACCATTCAGCCCAGTGTCAACGGAATCAACGAGGTGGGCCTTTACCTCAAGAAAGAGGCAGAACCACCATTCGCCATCCACATCCAAAAGGAACTGGATGAACTCAATGCTCAGTGGGGGAACGTTTGCAAACAGGTAAGTCACTTTCAACCAGTCCATCATATGTTAAAAATTCAGGAAACTCCTGTTAGTGCTCTTGTACCTTCTCTGTGAAGGCCTACGCCAAGAAGTCAGCCCTCAAAGGGGGGCTTGATAAGACCATGGCCTTAAGGAAGGAGATGCAGGAGATGCAGGAATGGATAAACCAGGCTGAGGAGGATTATTTGGAGAGAGACTTCACATACAAGACACCTGAAGAGCTACGGAAGGCTGTAGAGGAACTCAAGGTACTGGAGAACATTCCAGAGCAATTGAAACGTTCGACAGCAGGAATGTGTGACCGTGGATGGGGGGTCTGAACCCTGACCCTGGTACTGTGACCCTAAAGCATGTTTTCTTCTGTCTTCCTTTGTTTATTGAAGAAAAAAATTCAGTCATTTTAATATGTGCTCCTGTGTGACCGTCTTAACTGTCTTAGCTAGCTTCCTAGCTAAATGCCACAGTTTACATCCAAGATGGCTGAGGAGTTTTTTTTTTTTTTTTTTTTTTTTTGTCGTCAGAGAGCCCAGGAGGAGGTCCATTCCAAGGAGCTGAAGGTCAAACTGCTGACGGAAAGCGTGAACAGTTTCATTGGCAAGGCCCCGCCCACTGCCCATGATGCTTTGCGCTTGGAGCTGGACGTGCTGACGGCTAACTACCAGCGTCTATGTAGTCGTCTGGATGGGAAATGTAAAACTCTGGAGGTACAGTAGCTCGTCCTACGCTGTCGGTAAAAGGCAGAAGCATCGTGTTAAAACCAGATTGTTTCAGTTCAGCTCAGTCAGATTCAGCTTTCGAACACCGTTTATCCAAAAGATGCATTACATCTTCAGTTTTGTCCCTCATTCTGATAGTTAATGGTATTGATCAGATTCTGGAACCCATTGGTCTACAGAGGAGTTCATGGTGGACTCAGTGAGTCAGCCATCAGTCCTCCATGTTGATCTAATTCTGATAACTAATTATGTCTAAATACATATTAGGTGTTATAGTGTTTTAGTTTTGGATCCTTTAACACTTTTGATCCTGGGAAGTTGAGATAACACCTCCTAGTTATTTCAGATTAATTTAGGTTTCCTGCTTTTTAAACCAACTTCATTTGAGCTCAGCAGGTCAAGGGATGGAGCTGAGCATCAGATGATTATACCATCAACATATAAATGGCTAAATTATCATTAAGGTTATCACTAGAGAGATCAGTGGCCCTGATACAAAGCCCTGAGGAACTCCTTTGATAGGAAAGGACCCAGCACATAGAACACACTTTCTGTAGAAAGATGGACTCCAAATTGTTGTGAAGTCACCTTTGTCCTGTCTCATATTGATGGCAGAAACACATTGTGTTTATGCCGTTTGTCCTTGGCATTGTGTTAACACTCGCCTGCATGCTCCAGACTTGAACCCTGAATAAACAGCTGAGGTGATCATACCTGCAGACCAGCAGATAATCAGAAGTATTCTGTAGTAGTAGCGACAGACATTGTTAGATCCTTCATGTGTTTTAAATGGTAAATGGCCCGTATTTGATATAGTGGCTTCTAGAGACCTGGAACCCCCAAGGTGCTTTACGACACAATCAGTCATTCACCCATTCACACACACATTCACACGCTGGTGTGGATGAGCTATGATGACGAGGCTGCCGATCACTTGTGCCACCGGTCCCCTTGACCAGCAGGCAAGGGGGGTTAAGTGTCTTGCCCAAGGACACAATGACAGCGACAAACTGAGTGGGGCTCGAACCTGCAACCTTCCGATTACGGGACCAGCACTTAACTCCTGTGCTATCGTCACCCTCTTTTAACATCTAGTACTTTTGACCAGAGGTTTCAGTAATCTCGATTTTGTGTTACAAGATGGCGCCGGCGTTCTCAGCTTGCCGTCTGCTCCCGCGACTGTTGTTTTTTCTTTTTTTATTTCTGTGTTTTTCTCTGGTAGTTTGTAGCTTAACTATTTGCTATGATCGACTCACCCTTTTTGAACTCTGGCATAAATCTGGACTACCCAATCATCGTTGCTCCAATCTGAGATGGCCCTTTGCCCCGTTGTTTTTGATGGTCCCAGCCCTGCTGCTTCACTCTCCCTGCCCATCATCGTTACCAAGGAGACAGTGCTGCGTGGCAAGTGCAAGGACTCCAAAGTGTGGCTCAGAGCTTTCTCCTCACGAGATGTAATCCTCTCCTGCCTTTGGAGCTGCTACATGGAAGTCATTGGACCTTCTTAAATCTATCGCTCTGCTGAAGATTACCTGAGGGATCCCGTCACTAGAATGCCTCCACCTCCAGCTCGTGGTTTCACCAGGGTATCCACAAATCTGACCTCTGCTATCCCACAATAGTCACTCCTCTCAGCTCATTCGGGTCCTTCGTTACTCTTCAGAGTTGCTTTCCTGAACATCCGGTCAATTGGGAATAAATCCACCATTTTAAGGGATTATTTCTTCAGCATGAGATGACATTCTTGTGCATGAATGAGACCTGAGTTATTCCTGGTGAGTCAGCTGCATTCTCGGAGCTCTGTTCCTCAGACTGGCGTGTCCTGATTGAGCCAACACTCACTGGTTGTGGCGGTAGCCTGCTAGGTCGACTTTAGTCATCTTGTTTTGGTCATTTGCTGTTATCGCCCAACTAGGTAAGACTCAAAAATTTCAGGTGAAATTCCTGACATTTTATCAGACTGTATTGCAAAATATGACCAAGGAATTATTCTTGGAGATTTTAACTTACATATCTGCAGCCCTGACAAGCCTCAAGTTAGACATTTTAGACTCTTTTGGTCTCCAACAACAGGTTCACACACCCATCCATTCGGGCTTGCATATTTTGGACTTAGTTCTGTCATTCTGTCTGATCCTCGGCTACAGAAGTGGACTCTCTAATGTCACCTCCCTGGTGGGGAAGGAGCTTGAGGTAGTTTGTGAGATTGAGAGGTTCCGACTAGATATAGTTGAACTCACCTCGATGCCTGGCTTTGGCTCTGGAACCAGTTTCCTTGAGAGGGGCTGGACACTCTACCACTCTGGAGTTGCCCTGACTGAGAGATCCTGAAGGTGTCTGTCCCCATCAGTCCCTGTGCGGTCTCTGGTGATCTGAGCTTCAGCTCTAACAGAGAGGCTCATGGAGCGCTGCGGCGCTCCAGTCTGCCGTCTCAGCTAATTTTGTTCAAAAAGCAAACCTTATTGCCTGTGTTTACTTTCATTTTCAATAAATTTGCCAGCCGGAGCTCAGCAATAACTCCCCACGTCATCATGACATCTGTCTCTGTTGCGCCAGGGCGCATACGACAGACCTTTACCGCAATATTGCTACCAAGCGAGGCGGAACGAATGCCGCAATATTCGCGCAACGCCATGCCGGCATGGCGCGTTTATAGACATACCATTGCGGTAATATCATGCCGATTTACCGGCATGGTGCATCTTATAAATAGCACCTACTGATACTGCCCTTGCCTGGTTCAAATTGTACCTCACTGGTCGATGTTTTAGTGTCCATATCAGATTTCACCTCTCCCAATGTTCCATATTCGTAGGGAGTGCCTAAGGGTTCTGTCCTTGGTCCTCTCCTTTTTTCATTAGACATCCTCCCTCTCGGAAAGATGTTATCCAATCACAGGGTCAACTACCATTTCTCCACAGACGATTGCCAAATTCAACTGAAACCTAGTCAACAACACTCATCAATAGTTTTGGCAGAATTCCTCTCTGAAGTCAAAACCTAGCTCTCCTCTAACTGCTTACTGTTATGACAGCAAGACAGAAGCCATCTTTTTTAACCCCACTGACACAAATGGTGCTGCAGATGTACCTGCTCTTCCCTCAGTGAATCTTAAATTGTGTGTCACCAGCCTGTGTGTGAAACTCGACTCCGACCTCTCAATGACGTTACAAGTCAATGCCACTGTGCGGTCTTGCCTTTTTCAACTTTGCTGCATCACATGGCTTAAATCCATCCTCAAACACCCGCATCTTGAATCTTGTCATTCACTCATTCATTACCTCCTGCCTGGATTACTCCAACTCTGTGCTGATTGGCATTAATGTGCCTACCTTGAGCTGACTACAGAAAGTTCAAAATGCTGCAGCTAGGTTCTTAACCAATTCCAACAGACACTTGCACATCACACCCATTCTTGTTAATTGACTCTCACTCCCAGTTAAATTTAGAATTCTTTACAAAGTCTTGCTTTTTGATTACAAGGCTTTGAATGGTCCGTCTCCATCTTGTCTGACTGAGCTGTTGACTCCATGAACACCCACACGTTCCCTTTGATCGACCGGTCACCAGCTACTGGTTGTTCTGAAGGTCCGCTATAAATCACGGGGGGGTCTTTTCCCATGCGGCACCAAATCTCTGGAACTCTTTACCCATCCAAGTACGTTTGCCTCTATCCCTCAGTAGGTTTAAGTCTACTCTTAAGATGCATTTTTTAGCATTGTCTACCCTACATGACCTACATGATTAACCTCACTAAAACTGCATGACTCTAGTAGGCCATGTCTTGCCTCACTGCCCCTCTTAGAGCTGTTTTACCTTTCCTGTTTAGTTTAACTACGATTCATTTGCTCTTTTAGTTGTACCTTGGGATATATTTTTTAGCTGTTTAGTTTTTTTTTGGTGCTGTTTTTAGCGGGTTTGATTCCCCCCCCCCCCCCCCCCCCCCCCCCCCCATAGTGATTTAACTTTTTCTTTGTGATTGTCCTTTTAACATGTATTTTATGCTTGACTTTTAATGCTTGACTTTTTTATGTCTTTTAACTGATCCGTCAGTTTTTTTTTTTTTTTGTTTTTGTTTTTTTGCTATTTGTCTTGTTGTTGTGTTTGAGCCTTTGGCTTTTTATGTACAGCACTTTGGTTAGCTGACATGCTATTGTTAAACTGTGCTTTATACATACATTGGTGTGGTATGGTCATTACGATGTGGTGAAGTCCTCAGAGTGAGTTATCATGTTTACTTTTTCATGTTTGCTCATAATAAACTGTGTTGCAGGAGGTTTGGGCATGCTGGTGCGAGCTGCTGTCTTATCTGGAACAGGAGAACGCCTTCCTGGACCAGCTGGAGCAGAAGCTGGAGGAAACCGATAACTTGCAAGGAGGTACTAAGGAGCTTCAGGAAGCGCTGGATGTGAGTACAACATCACAAAGCTGAAAGGCCCTCCACTCTGGAACTTTATTAGTTAGTGTCCAATCAACAAGATCACCTTAAATAGTGTTCACAAGGATGTGGACCACTGATACTCAACAGCAATCCAACTGAATTAGTCCACACATTCAGAGTGATGAAGAGTATTGTCCTCTTCAGTGGCTCTGATACATGAACTCTGAGTCATGCAGTTGTTACGTAGTCTATTGATGTCTCCTACAGGGCTACAGGCTGGATTGTAATGAAAAATATGTGTCCATTACTGTTCCCCTATCTTTGTTCTGATGACATTTCTGAAGCAGATAGATTTAGTGTCATCATGTCCAACGCCACGGCTGAGCCACTCATCGTCTGCAGGACTGTGATGGTGTGTTGTTACTGTTTACTGCCTGCTTTCAGGTGGACATAGACAGGTGGGTGGAGGGCATCTGTAGCAGAACCTTTATTCATGGCAACTTCCTTTGGTTAGTGTTGCTGATTTAACTCCAACCAGCGCTCTAGCAGATGTTCAGAGTGGGGGTTCCGACTTCGCACCTTTATTTAACAGATTAGATTTGGTACGTCACGGGGTGACGGTGCCACAGGAGTTAAGTGCTCGCCCCATAATCAGATGGTTGCAGGTTCCAGCCCCGCTCAGGCTGTCTCTGTCGTTGTGTCCTTGGGCAAGACACTTAACCCCTCTTGCCTGGTGGTGGTGGTCAGAGGGACCGGTGGCCGCTGCATCTTGTCTAGGGCTGCACAATATATCGAAAAATTATCGTCATCGCGATAACAGGACGTGCGATAGGCCCATCGAAAAGCACGTGGAAAACGGATGTTTGGTTCAAACATTTCCATCCGTGTCATACATCAACTTTTTGTAAACCAGCTCTGTTTTTTACGCGGATGTATTATTTGACCAATCAAATGTAGCCCTTCTGATATGCGGCCAATCAGATGGGTCTGTTCACTTAATACGCCTGCCCCCTACATAGACCCTTACCCCATAATTGCACGCAGGGTTTGGGGGCCACAAAGAGGTGGCTCGTGGGCCGGACGTGGCCCGCGGGCCACCATTTGCAGACCACTGCCCTACTGCATCCTTTTCTTCATTTACTCCTCTAACTGAGGACTGTGTGTCCAAACTTCTCACACCCACTCGACCCCATTCTGACTAAGCTGCTCAAATCTTTGCTCCTACAGTAGCTGCACATGTGGTTAATACTCCACTAACTCTGGTACATTTCCCACCTCTTTCTAGCATGCTCAGGTTAAATTGATGCTAAAAAACATCCCTTCCTCCAAATCATGTGAAGAAATACCAGCCTATCTCTGTCCTTCCGTTCCTGTCTAAAATAATCGAAAGGGTGTCCTTCAAGCAAGATTACAGGACACCTCTTACAAAACTGTCTGCTTGACCCTTACCAATCTGGGTTAAAAAATGATGGGGGTGTGAGGTGGTGAGGGAACAGATGAACATCTCATCTAAACATGGATCTAGTAGCTATTTAATCCTGACATGCTGGGACCCAGTGAATTCCCAGAAGAATAATGAATTTGTGACGGGATGTTGGGCTAATAGAGCCATTCTGGTGCTCCTTGCTTCTTGTACAGCTGGTTGTTCACGTAGAGCTTGTCCACGGTGATGACGGCGCAGCTCCCATCCTTGATGAACTTTTTACACAGCGGGAAGAGGACTTGGCGGCGCTCCAGGATCTCCTTAGGAAACTGGTCGTTGACGCTGAAGTCTTTCCCTTTAGGTTCTCTCCCGCAGCTTTTAACTAGGTTCTTCTGCTTGAAGTGTTCGAATGTAGCCACGGTGGGACGGGGTCTTCTGCTGTCCGTTCTTCTGGCTCCAAGGCAACACACCCGGTGAAAGGTGATGTTTTTCACTGTTCCTTTGGGTATCTTCATGCAGGTCTGGAGGAACTCCTTGACTGTTTGTTCGCAGTCCTCCGGTTGTCCCCCCGTCTGCTCCGGCAGGGCAGCGAACACCAGGTTGTCTGTCATGCTGCGGGCCTGAAGGTCCAAAACCATCTCCTTCAGGGTCTTATCCTGGGAGAACCGCGCCATGCCTTCTGTTAGGGAAGACACGGACTCCTGCAGAGACGCGTTCTCAGCAGCTAGCCGCTCCACCCGCTCCTTGCTGAATTCCAGAGACTGTTAGAGATCCTGGAATTCCTTGTGTAGAACTTCTAGCAGGTGGAGATGACCCTCAAATCCCAAAAGTCTTTTGTCAATGGAATCTAATATGTCTACCATGTTCTTACTGGGAGATGAGGTCGCCTCGGGGCAGTCCTGAGGTCGGCTTCTCTAGGTCCCAGGTGTTTCTGTGTCGGCCCCATGACAAAACTCTCAAAAACTCCATCAATGTAATTTTGTAGGCTTTCTAAATTTTCTCCACTGTCCTCCAGATTGTTGGGGTGAGTGTTTTAATCTTACTGGATAATTTTGTGTTGTCAGTAAATACATTTGGCGAAAATGCTTCTTACTTGTTTGTAGGTGTTTGTTAACGAGCTGCCATCTGCTTCCAATGCTGCCGTGAATTCGGATGTGATCGACCGTTAGCGCATGCTCAGCTGCAGCCTTTCTCCATTTGCTCCAGATATTTCCAACAGGATTAGATTTTGTTAGGAAAGGAGTGGCGTTCTGCCTGAGTGCAGTAAGAGCCACTCATGAAAAGGTCTTAGCAGCATATTATTGCTTTTGGCAAACATGTAAATGAGGTTTTCACGGAGCATTGGTGCTTAGCACAACACAGACACATTCTGGGGTTCATTTTCACAGGTTTCCTGTATGTTTGCAGAGTCTGGCAGTTCTTCTGCGGCACCCTGAAGACAACAGGAACCAGATCCGGGAGCTGGCCCAGACACTGATGGACGGGGGGGTTCTGGATGAACTGATTCAGCACAAACTGGATTTGTTCAACACTCGATGGGAGGAACTCATGGCGAGGGTAAGAGGACTATACGCCATACACCCCGCTGGCTGTGTATTATCCCATACCAATAATCACCACTAGAGCGCACAAAAAAACAAGTTTCTCCATTAACATCCATTCAAACACGCTCAAACTGCAACTAGCTAATGCTGTTGCTAATGCCATTCATTACAGGCTTCTAGTAAAAGTGAAGAGTTGCATGATTCAAATGTGTAACAGCAGCTAACCATATTTACGAATTCACTCAATCACATGTTGCTGGAGGCTGTCTGACTCAGCGCTTCTATCTGATGGGGGCTGGTCGTAGCCCAGCCAGTTCTCTGGGTCGAGGTGTAGCTTTGGGCGCTTTTTAGGACTCTATGTTCAGCACTCATGTTGTACCGAAGCATTTTAAACATGCAGTAGTGCATCCTTTCTTTACATTTTTAACATTATTTTATTCAAATTTTTAATATTTTTCAGTAATAAAAAAATTCTTAATATTTTTTAAACGTATGTTCTAGTGAAGTGCCTCTTGAGTTTGAACTTGAGAGGCACTATATAAAAGATCGTTTTCTTTTCTTTCCTCTGCTGGGTTGACTGCAGCACCTTTACGTTAGATGATGTCTTACCTATCCAATCATGCTTTTACTGTCTCCAGGGGCGCTCGCTCTTCTAAGGTGGCCCTGTTAAAGTCGGGGGTTCCCCAGGGTTCTGTGGTGGGCCTCTGCTTTTTCTGTCTTCTACCGCTGGGTTTAATACAAAAACAAAAATCCAACTTTCACGTCTACGTGGATGACTGTCAGCTCTATATTCTTGTTCAGTAGGTGCCTGATTTAACCTCTCATTGACTGCACGACTAAAGTCTTTAGATTGTAAATGCCAAACACACACACACCTGTGGACCCATCACCTGCAGGAGGAACATGAAGGGTCCGGTGCAATGTGGATCGGGTGGCAGACCAAGGCGGGAGCCTTGGCAGTCCGATTCCCGGACAAGTAAACTGGTTTTTGGGACATGGAACGTCACCTCGCTGGTGGGGAAGGAGCAGGAGCTTGTGGCAGAGGTTAAGCGGTACCGGCTAGATATAGTCGGACTCACCATGACACATAACATTGGCTCTGCAACCCAAGTCCTTGAGAGGGGTTGGACACTCTCCTTTGCTGGAGTTGCTCCGGGTGAGAGGCGGAGGGCTGGGGTTGGCTTTTTGTTAGCCCCAAGACTCTCTGCCTGTGTGTTGGGGTTTACCCTGGGGGACGAGAGGGCAGCTTCCCTGCGCCTTTGGGTCGGGGAACGGGTCCTGACAGTTGTTTGTGCTTATGGGCCAAATATCAGTTCAGAGTACCCACCCTTTTTGGAGTCCCTGGGACGAGTGCTAGATAGTGCTCCATCAGGAGACTCCATTGTCCTGCTGGGGGACTTCAATGCTCACGTGGGCAATGACAGCTTGACCTGGAGGGGTGTGATTGGGAGGAACGGCCCACCTGATCTGAACTCAAGTGATGTTTCGTTATTGGACTTCTGTGCAAGCCGCCATTTGGCCATAACGAACACCATGTTCGAACATAAGGATGCCCATCGGTACACTTGGTACCAGGGCAGCCTAGGTCGCAGGTCGATGATAGACTTTGTAGTCGTATCATCTGATCTGCGGCCATATGTTTTGGGCACCCGAGTGAAGAGAGGAGCAGAGCTGTCAACTGATCACCACCTGGTGGTGAGTTGGATCAGATGGCAGGGGAAGATGCCGCGTAGACCTGGCAGACCCAAACGCATAGTGCTGGGAACGCCTGGCAGAAGAACCTGTTAAGACGGTCTTCAACTCCCACCTCCGGCAGAGCTTTGACCGCGTCCCTAGAGCAGTGGGGGACATTGACTCCGAGTGGGCCTTGTTCCACTCTGCGATTGTTGAGGCGGCTGTTGCTAGCTGTGGTCGCAAGGTGGCCGGTGCCAGTCGTGGTGGCAACCCCCGTACCCGCTGGCGGACACCAGTGGTTCGGGGAGCCGTCAGGCTGAAGAAGGAGGCCTACAGGGCGTGGCTGGTCTGTGGGTCTCCGGAGGCAGCAGACAGGTACATAGCACATTTTTTGTGCTACAAGCCCCAGAAGGAGGACTGTACCAGCTTTCCTCCATTTAAACCCTTTAAAAAAAGGCACCTGTGGCCGACAGACAGCTGAAATGTTCTCCTCATATCTTCTAGAACATTTGTGGTAGGCACACAAGACTTCACATACATGCCCATCAAAGCCTTCTGCCACCCACACTTTTTGAATTTGTCAAATCGGTGCAGTACTTTTCGAATGGTGAGGAGAAGTTTCACAGGTCCAATTTCACTTCTGAAGGACATATTTAAAGGCTTCTCTCATTAACAGGAGTACAGCTGCAGGCCTCCTACAGCCGGGGGAAAAGGCGGGAAAACAGTGCTGCTCTCTGATTGGTTGAGAGTGTTCAACCATTTTTTGTCCTAGCAGGATTGAGCACCCACACATATGATATATCAAATCGACCAGCTTGGTCTCAGGAATCTTGTATTCAATTTTAAATGCGTTATCTGTTACCATGATAACACGAGTGCATAAGGATATCCCCAAACAAGTCTCATTGAAATGAATGTGAAAAGCCTAATATTGAGCCTATAACATATTGCAGTTTCTTATCTTTCTGAGCTCTATACACTTAAAACTAGCAGCATAGTTAACATTTTAACACTAGCCAGGAGGCAGGAACCGCCCCCTCCTCCTTCGCTGCTCTCTCATTGGCTGAGAGTTTTCAATCGTCTTCTGCCTAAAAGGAAATATACACCCACACATATAATGCATCAATTCAACCTGCTTGGTCCCAGGAGTCTTGTCTTAACTTGATTTTGTGTTTCACAGTTCAGCTAAACGTAAAGATTAAACTGTTAAACTTGTCCTGCTGAAATAGCAGGTGTTTGGACATTTTAGCTGTCCAGATTTGTATACAATGTTCACCGATTTCAATTTTCTGCTGTTTAGGATAATTTTTCTCTATTATTCAATTACTTTTTGTTCTTAACCTGGTTGTTGGTGCTTTTTGCTTCTACATCTTTCAATACATTCAGCTCATTTTGACAGTTTTGCTTAGTTTCAGCTTCAGTTCAGCTGTTCAGCAGCATCAGCTTACAGTTTCAGCTATCCAGCATTTAAACAGCATTTCTGCAAGAAATGCAAATTTTTCTAGTTATCTCTATTGTATTATTTTGCTGTGTGTGTCCTTATTATCTTGTGCTTCGCTGCTGCGGGCCACACACACACACACACACACACACACACACACACACACACACACACACACACACACACACACACAACACATGTGTGGGACAACACAGCCTCACTGGGCCCAGCAAACACTTCCAAATGTCCCTCGCTAACAGCAGGACATCCTGTGTGACACAAGGGGCTCAGGGCTATACTTAGAGCTATTATCCCTGTGTGTAAGATTAGCATGTTCACCTGTAAACGCACACGCAGGTATGGGCTGTGTCTACAAGCTAATCTCTTTGCCGGTTGGTGAAATGCGTCTCTAGAGTCTGGCGGTAAAGACGATCAGGAGATCATCAGCGTTGATGTGCTGGATGCTGGACTAACAACATGCGAGACATACCTCGAAGTCCCACCTACAGGAGGGTTCCTTTAGGACGGCTGTATCCCACGGTGAGGAGCAGCTGTGTGGAGCTGTGGGCGTCTACTCTCAACTTGAGGGCTTGAGGCTCATTGATAAAAGGGAATTTCTTACTCCGTGTTTGGGACTGAAGTAGCTGCAGGATAGAACTGGGTTACAAAAAGGCCCACGTGGTCCGGTTCTGGGTTCATGTCTCTTAAGTGTCACGGATGCTGTGTGTCCTGTTTCCTTAGGCAACACTAAGGCAGAAGGAACTGGAGAAGAACATACAGGAGGCGCAGGAGAATGACAAGCTGCTCCAGCAAATTCAGCATGCGTTGGCCAACACGGATCGCCACCTCACTTCCTACCTGTCAGACCACATTGATGCCCAGCAGATCCCGCAGGAGGCTCAGGTAGCTGTAGTCTTCTAAATGTTCTCAGGAGTTCTCCTTCTGCCCTTTAACCCCTTCTCTCAAACTTTTACCCTTGCATGAAAACAACATGTGTTTCAATCAGCCCGTGTGCTAACCCTAGCCGGAGTGGGGTTTATGAAAAACGAACAAGACAGCACCGTCCCTTTTGGGTCTTCACGACTCAGGGAAAACTTATCCATAGTTGAAACGGTCACAGAGCCAGATGGTCTTCACACGATCACGTTTTTTTTACTGCAGAGTAATAAACCAGTGACATTGTTCTGCTGTGTTGACCGCGGCAAACACCAACTTTACAGCTTGGAAAGTAAACAGATGGTTTGTCCTAACTTACATTATTCCAACTAAGTCCCACTCATCATGTTGGGACATCTGTAGAGTAATCAGGAGTGTTACATCATAGCTCTACATGTTTATGTTTATGTTTATGTGCTTAGCAGACGCTTTTTCCCAAAGCGACGTACAATTTTTTTTTTAACCTATAGGGCATGTTGTGATCTGTGGGGGAAACCGGAGTACCCGGAGGAAACTCACGCATGCATGGGGAGAACACGCAACTCCACGCAGAAAGGCCGCAGCCGAGTTTCGAACCTGCGACCTTCGTGTTGCGAGGCAACAGTGCTAACCACTGCGCCACCATGCAGCCCTGAGCCACATGCTGATACCTGAGCTGTGGTGGGTTAAACCTCCAGTATTAGTAATTATTATTGATCCATATCAGTGTTTTAATCATTTTGGATCCCCTTTTGGATACCAGTGGTAATTAATAAAGCTATTGATTATTCATTTTTGGTCCTACTTTTCCATATTTCACCAGTTTTCTACCCAGAAGGACCAAAAAACCCAACTAACTAATAATAATAATGACATGAAACTCCCTGGTATGGTCTGTTCAGGGGTTCTGGAGAGGAGGGTCCTTCGGATTGTAGAACCTCAGATTCAGGAGGAA